CAACTGCGTAGAATACGGTCGCCTAGTTAAAGGACTTATGGTTTTATAAGTGGTATTGAGTGCTCTTGCCCACAGTCAGTATAACGATTGAACCTTTCTATTGGGGCTTGTATTTATTATAGTTTAATATAATAAACTTTAACATTTATATAATATTAATTCTTATCACAATCATACCAGAGCCTTACTTAAATTTAGCGGATTAGAATATCCAATCATATTGATTAAATAAAACTAGGTTGAATTTTGATTAGGAACCCTCTAAATCAATCGGCAGAAATAAGCTGTTATCTTGACACTATGAAGCTTACATTGTTTACATTACCCTCTAAATTCATTACGTTTACATTGCATTCTATAGATGCTTCAATTTGGTCGAGTAATAGAAACTATTGTGTCAATAAATTGGTTGATTGAATAACGGCCGCCCCTCAATCTGTCAAGTGATGGGGGACCCAATTTGAAGAAGCAGCGCACCCCATGGTGACTTAAGAGTTAAGCCCAATTTATACAAAATGTATGTAGGGTACAGAAACAACGAAGGTGTAGTATTCACAAATATGTTTGCTGTAGAGTTAGATTATAGCCACAGGTACATGAATTTATTTAACAATTTTCCTCTGTCTGTAATAATCTTAAAATTATGAATCACGTAGTATTACGGAGCTCTAGAGCGGAGTCCTAATGGACTAACGGAGAAACTTTCCTATCTGAATGTTACAGTTGTTTAAGTTACAGTGTTTTGATTACAGACTGATTACAGAATGCATCAAAAATGTCGAGTTAAGTCGATCAACTGGATATTTTATGGAAGTTTCGAATGATCTTTGTTTAACTTTTTTGTTATGATCACAATGATCAACAGTTGACTTTGCTTCTTTGTTTTCTTTTACACACAGCCCAAAAATAAAGGTTTTTCCACGTAAAATATTTCAATAAGATATAAATTTTCCATTACAGAAAATGATACAAGTCTGCTAAGAAACAAATAAGTAAGGCAGAAAATTTCCCTGAGGTGACATAATAATGAGAGAGTTATTGGAAATGAGAGACACCGTTACATAGTATGAAATGAGAAATTGTTTTATTTTTTTACTTGAAGTAAATATGTTTTATGTTTCATTTACAATATCTATTTTTAAGAAAAATTATGTCGTACAAAGAATCATTGCAGGAAGAGTAATGAAATAAATAATAGTCGCTCACTGTGGGCCTCATAAGAAGGCTCAAGGTCACGCAAAGTTTCACTGCGATATCGAATTAGAAATGATGATTTCCGCAAAAGAACCAAAGTAACCGACATAGCCCAAAGAATTTCAAAAGTTAAGTGGCGCTGAGTGGGACACAATACTCACAGAACAGATTGCGGATGGAGTCAAAGAGTTTTTGAGTTGCAACCGCGTACCAGAAGATGCAGCGTGGGTAGATCACCCACAAAGTGGACCGATGACCTGTTGAAGGTTACACGAGGAAAAGAGTTATGGTGATCTTAGGACGAGTCATATGAGCAGCAGTGAACATCTGAAAGGGTTGTAACCCTAACTAGCCGTGAACAGGTTCACGGCAATGAAACGGGAAACTTCCGGTCCACAAAATTTATTAAAAAAGTAAAGTTAAAAGAAAGGGCCGTAAATGGGCCGAGTAACTGAATTACAGATATAGATAGGTACGTGAAGGCTGTAGACTGTTATTTATTATTTATTATTAGACATGATTTAGCTTATTTAATGATTGTAAACGTAGTAAAGAACCAAAATTAGCGATTATACGCGATGGAATTTTAATCAGCTCCGACTGTTGTGGCGGTCGAGCTAGAAGTAACCGTGGTACGAAAATAAAATGTGAAAGTGAAGGAAAATGGGACAATTCAAATTTAAAATTTAAATACATGTAAAATAAAAAAAAATGATAGGATACAAGCGCAGAGAGGCGATAGAAAAAGGTGAGATGACGGTGTAAGGAGGTCACACCGTCACACATCTTTCGACTCTAATGACGATGATGATGAATAAAACAAAATCAACAGTTATAATTGCGCGTTAACAAATAGCCTTAAGTGTCAATTACAGCATTAATTACAGTAAGTTACATGTATAATACACGTTGTAGGATTACCTTTATGGACCTCATAAGTGTCGTGTTCGAGCTTATTCGTGCTTATTATAATGTTTCGAAATAATTTATTAACTTAATGAATGTATTATAATATATATTGATGCTTTCCTGTATGCACAGAACCCGGCCTGGGTAGCTACCCTTATCGTACCTACTTTTACCGAAATGCGACGTTATATTGTGTTCCAGAGCGAAGTTTTTTTTATGATACCAAGTGCCGGGACGAACAAGTCATGCGCCTGGTGATAAGCGACATTCCAGTCCATAACAGTTGCAGAGCCGCTCAGAGCTTTATATATAATAATAATACTAGGGAAACCCTGTGTCGCGGTTGCCATGGACACACACATAGACATCCACAAATTTCACCCAAAGTCACGAGAGAAAGAAATGTAGGCCATACAAATATTTCTCCCGGTCCGGGAATCGAACCCGGGACCGCTGCGTGGCAGTCCGTGAGTCCAGCATGGTAACCGTTCGGCCACGGAGGCAGCTTAAATAGTAAATATCTCTCGATTTGCGGAGCACTCACTGCGCCCATCACCTTGACAAGTTCTATGTGCCTGTAATTTCACCAGCACCCTTACCCTTCAAAACCGGAACGCAATAATGCTCACTTTACTGCTTGGTGGCAGTTCTACTACTACTAAAACTAGTACTAATAATAAGGAGAACCACTACAATTAAAGGTACTGAAGTCTTACGATCTCTTGTCTATATAAGGCGAAGACAATACTTTCCATCAAGTGAAAGTTTTGGCTGCCAGTATATATCTGAGAATCGGTATTACATCTGAACAAGGAAAACTGTTCCAGAGTAACAACCAGTCATCTGAGCTCTCATTGAGTTAACTTGTAAGCAGGTAAGAGTTGATGATATCATATGCTCATTGATATCCAAAATATTTCCATCATCTCGTACCCAGTAGACAAAGTCTAACGTCTAGAATCGAGAACCTACAAAATCACAGATGTTATGGGTGAATTTTAAGAAAACGTAAATAGATTTTCCAGCAACTACTGCATTGCATCGTCCGTATGAGAGAATACTTTAATGGGTTAGTTAAGTGACTGATAGATTTGTGACAAAACTCCACATGTGAGTGTAGTATTCAAATGGGTTCTAGACATGCAAACGTTCATTATATGACAAATTTTTGACACATGGACCAGTAGCCTTTATTCACTTTGAACCTGCTTCGCGGGCAAACGTTTAAGTTGTCAGTTCATATTGTAACGGAAATGCATCAGGGAAAATACTAGCTCTTGATGCTTTTAGTTTGATAGATTAATTGATGGCATTTGACGGAAACATTGCTGAAAAGTACTAAGTAAAGATACACTGACTGTGGGTTTCAAATCGCTTTGAGAATTTGTCTACATGATTAAAGAAATGGAATTATGTGAGTAATTTATGCCATAGTCTACCATGTTGGTCCTATGAGGGCTGTAAATGAAAAGTTTTTGAACAGTTTCGTGAAATACATAAGATTATTGCAGATCTCCAATGTAAAGCAAGCGTTACCCCAATTAGGCCATTAGTTACAATTCTCCAGCTAGGCTACATTGAAAACTTTAATGTTTCACCCAGCAGAGAACAACAATGATAATTTATTTTATAAGTTCATTTAGAACACCAACAGATTACACAGAAAAAATATGATTGAAGACAACATTCGGAAAGGCACAGTTTTTATGTGTAAGCAAATTAAAAGTATCCACATCACTCAATACATACCTAAATACAAAAATAATAATAAAATAAAAATAAGTTTAAATAATACTAATCCAATTATTCATTATAATATATCATAATACGCCATGTCACAAATAAAAACAAATTTAAATAATTACCACTAATTATCAGTTCTTACCACAGAATGTACACGCTCTATGATCACTGGTTGACTTGTAACGTTCCAAAATATCGAAAAAATAAAAATAACTCAAATCGTGGTAACGAACCTATAATTAGTGATAACCATTTAGTGAGTAATTACTAAAAACAACGCTCAAATCTCATTAAAATTGGTCCATTGATTCAAGAAGGCATTGAGAATCATCGATGACTCTCCATATTGACGCGGTCTTTATAAAGCCAGGAGAATTTATGACCATAATTTAATTCAATAAAAAGCAAAGATACACGCTTGATGAGGATGACAGGCGCTCGCGTAGAATATTAAAAATATCCGCTTCATATTGTTCGAGAAACACAAAATATGGCAAAAAATTCAATTTCTTAGCCTACACAAATTTAACGTAGACGTAAAACGTTAAATCTAACGTCGCGTCTGATTAACTGGTAACGTTAGCTACAGTGACGTTGAATCCCATCATTATTTTAATGATTCGATTTTGCGATCTATTTATTGACGCAATTATACTGGAGAAGCTACTGAGCATGACATAAATGGTAAGAATAGGTCTACTTACAATACTGAATTCTTATTTCTTTTCAACTTGTGAATAGTATGACGCAATTTACACAGAATACTGAAGAAATATAGTGTAAGCTTCAATTTTCAAAAAGGTCAAAAGACTTCAAGTTTAAAATGCTACAGAACAACATTAGTACTCAATAGTAGGACAGCCGACTGAAAGTAAGTTGATTATTATTTCATTGGTATAACTCAGAATGTTGTCTGCAATAATCTGCCGTCTGCTAACGGGTACCAACATCAATATATTCAACAATATTAGAGACCTAAGATCCAGGAGTTAACTTGTCCGACGCATTAGCCTAGTCATTGAAAGGGGGAGCCTTCCAGCATTTTAGGCACCCTGTTTCATTGTAAAGGTTATAACGGCTAATTTAGGCTTGGTACTTAAGTGGAGAATGCATCTTTTTCTTTCAACACACTCAAATTTGTAATTTAAAAATACCTGTGCTTGTGCGACAAACAGGAAGCGAAGTCAATGCGTGGCATTTCTGATTTTCCAAACCCCGCCGGCTCACCTGGAACAACCACATTGGCTAGGTGAAATACATACTTGTCTGAAATCGGATTTTCTTCAATTTGAAGTTATGTTGCATTTTTATGTTTAGTTTAGGCATCAGTCTCTCACAAACATATGCATACTATAACGCAAAGTGTAAATATTCGTATCTATAATAATGTTCTTTTTGTGGAGAAAAATAAACTTTATCATTTAGATTTTAATTTAATTATATTTTGACGTTCCACTCGATCTATTGGCGGTCGAGGCGGTCGATAGGTTCTCAAAACCTGAGAGTATTTCCATATTTTTATATATATAAAATATCTAATCAATTCATATAATAATAATAATAATAAATCATTTATTTTCTCCGAACAAGTTCAAGACGTAGGTAATGTATGTGTTCGTTTGTCTGTTGCACGTGAAACGTTATAATTGGAATATTTTAATTAGAACAACACAACAAAAAAGGAATTTGCAAAATAAAAACAATTCAAAGATGTTTCGAACGTCTTCTGAAATAAAACAGCAAAAATATAAGCAATAGATAATCTAAATTTTATAATTAGACCGGGAACAAAAACTCCTTGGGATGTTGTAATTAAAAAAAAACTTTTAATATACAACGAAATATTTTCAACGAAAGTTAATTAAGCAGAAAAATCCGGCTTTGTTTTAGCGGTGGCGAATAATGGCGGCTTATTAAAACTGGCTGTCCACAATAACATGATAAATCCCACTGGATACAAGGAGCTTTGGCCACTTGCCAGATCATTTTTGCTGTTCTGAACAATCTTGGTGAAAGGAAAATGTTGAGTTAGATTACGTGTGAAGTCGTTCTGAATATGAACTGACTGTTAACTGTGTTGGTACGATAGTACACTATATTGGATGAATAAATGGTCTAATGATAAGGAGCTTACTGGATTGTAAGTTATACTGTAACATGGTTTCCCTACTAACTCTGATATTATTTATATTGTTCAATAAATCGTAGTAGAAGTCGAATTCTTTGTAAAAGAGTTAGTTTTGGAAAGTGCTGGAAGGGGAGCAGTAATATGGGTATTATTGTATTACGGTCTTGTAGGTAGATTTTCTAACTTTATGTCTTAGGATGACGGGCATAGTACCAGTGCCTCTGGTTTTTGTAATTAAAGCTCTGAGTGGCGCTGAAACTGTTATGGGTAGGCGTGACGCTATTATCAGATGGATGACTTATTTTTTCGCAATCCATTACAAAAGAGGTACTGTGAGAAGACCGTGTAACAACTTCGAGATTAAGAGATGGAAGGGTTCGTATTGTGGTGTGAGTTTGAGATATATTATGATTTGTGAAAATTTACGACGACGACAATGTCAAAAGATCTATTTAATTATTCCTTGCCTGACAATACCAATATATTTTGCTTATAAACAACATACAAACTGTGTTTTTGTTTATGGGAAAGATAATAATCAATAACGGAACAGCTTTGTTACACCCATTTAAGCGTTTTAAACTAAGGATGATGTCGATAATTTGTAATCGGAGCAAACTTTGAGGTTTTAATAATTATTTGAGGAAAATAATGGTTTTCACGTTATATGGCGTCACCGAAACCACATATTCGCCAAGTATGAAATTTTGAATATTTTAGGCTCTGAGAACCTTTTTCTTGATTTCTATCAAAACAAATTATTGAGTATATAACTAGACAACCTTAGTTGGACCAACGGTTTGCATTCTAGGCGTTGGATGAGGACCAATTTTGGAAATTATTTTTTCTAAATTGGTTCTGGTCTGGACATTCTATGTATACTTCGTTTCAATACATTTTAAACAAAAAATAAACAAACAAGTCACTGACCCGACTACAGACGGTTTAGTGATGACTAATTTTACTGCTAACTACAAATCAATTAATTAATTCAATGAATCGAATCGAATTCAAAATTTGTTTGATAGAGTCATACTCGAGGTTTTCATTGCATAACCCGTAAAATTTTATTCAAAATTTCCGAAATCTTAATTTTAAATCCTTTTTCAAATCCTTACACTTAGATATTCGTTCGATAGCGATTGAAATGAAAAATATTACTAACATTATAAAAACTTTAATTGAATGAACTGAATGTTTTTTTTCCATACAGGACTATGCAACCATAGACTATTTTTTCTTTATCACAATATTTGACAATGCAGCAACTTGATTCATTTATAGTCCAAGAAACATAGACGTGTTGACTTGGTGGGGATTCTTTTTTATAAATTCAAAGTATGTTGAAATGCAAACACTTCATTGTACTACAATTCTGTGAATTTCTTATAACCGCTCACGCGATGCGCTCCTCCCACCGCAAAATGGCGGCTAAATGGTTTCGCAAATTAGAGAAACATTCAGTTTAAATACAAGTTTTTGTAAATAAAAATTGTTATTCTGCATTGCTAAATAAATACCCTCCGTACTACCAACAAAAACATCTCAAATACCCCGCAAATCCAGCACTTAAAAAGCACTAATGAAATTTTTGGTGTACTTGGATAAATATGATAATATTCCGTTTGAGTGGTTCTAACGTTTACCATGAAATTATTCCTTAAAGTATAGTTTATAAACATTTATATTCAGGGTAAACATAAAAAACGCTACTTTCGGTATGCTTTCAATAAATAAACACCGAAATCACCAGCCCAAACATTAACACACACGATTATCGTGACGTATTTTTGAAGTTGTTTATTTTTTTTTAAATGACAGACACAGGCATTAAAAACTTTATGGTTTGCTAGAGTAGTTACCGAAATAGCAATTAATGTTACTTCTTTTACCTTTTATAACTTCGATATCTGGTAAATCGGTATAAAATCATCACCGGCACCTCTAGGTGTGGTATGCGTCTACGGCTGCATGTATCGCGTGAGCGGATAACTAATTATAAGTAATAAATTACTTACTAATATAAGTAGGTTCAATTACAGGGCCGTGAGACTTGGCAATTTATGTCTCAGGGTGACGGGCGAAGTGGCAGTGACCCTCAGATTTTAGCCATTTAAAACTCGGAGTGGCACTGTAACTGCTATGTGCGGGAGTGTCGCTTACCACCCGGCGCACGACTTAAGTAACACAAAAAATGTTTTATTTTATTTAACGTTGACCTCGGTGACCTAAGCGTTTACATTGTGAGCCGTAGATGCGGAGGTCCCGGGTTCGATTCCTGTTAGGACCAATTTGGAAAATGGACATTTCTAAATTGATTCTGGACTGGGTGTACTGGGAAATGCCCCTAGTTTGAATCCAGGTAAATGGTTGTCTGGCACATTATTATTATCATATTATTTACTTATCCTGAAGATCATCAGATACAAACCAAAAAATTTTAATTGAAAAGTCAAAGTATGTTATATCAAAAGAATAATTGCGATGAATCCAGCTAGAATACAACAGGAGTTTGGCTTATCGCCAAATCATTTCGCAACATTTCCGCTGTCCTACAAGTTTGGTACAAGTTACGAGAAGTAAGTTATGACACCATTTGTCATCTTGTGACTATGGGAAGTCGCTGAGAAGTCGATTGTTTATTCCTGACTATAACTATATAGTTAGTACATCTACCCTTATATGTACTTTGACCATAACTTGTTTGGTCTCCTCTAAGGAGTGGCCTTAGGCAATACTCTACCTTGTTCGTTCAATGCAGATCAGAAACTTCATCAAGGTGTTTTATTTCACCGTTATTACGAGGTATTCCAATAAACATTCTCAAATCTACGTAACTTTGAAATCAACAACCAACGGTACATTAAACTATACACTTTTGTTCTAATATCGCCTCCAGTGCAACGCAATAAGTACCGTTAATGTCCAGCTTGATGTTCCGTCTTTACAATGAAGATAAAGCGTGAAACATACAAACAGGTAGGTGCGGGTTGGTCGCGGGTCGTGTCGGGACGGAGCGCCATGTGGCAAACATTATTTTAATTGTACCTACAGGTTGCGAAACATAATTTGAAAATAATTATTTATTCATCAAAATATTCTCATAAAGTACTAAAAAAAAACCACCTCAAAAGTTCGTGGCAATACACCTATTTACCAAGTTTAATTGAGATTGGTTAATGGAAAGCGCACGAAACCGGAAGCATCCCCTAGTTTGCCACCCTTAGAGGTAGAATATTTTCTAGAATTTTAAATAAGATCACTACCGAGGTACCCTCTTTGCAATAAGAAAATAATCATCAAAATCGGTCCACAAATACCGGAGTACACAAAAAAAAACAAAGAGTCGAATTGAGAACATCCACCTTTTTTTTCTTCAAATATTTTCAACACCGGGCAACGCGAGTCTACCGCGAGATTATGCGAATGTGTGCGATCGTACACGTTGGTTTGTTTGAAAAAAAAAACAAATATACGCGATTTAGACCCAAAAAAATACTTCCATTTCCTATGTAACAATAGCCAAAAACTAGCCACACTAAGCAAGCATGCTCCACCACATCGTCATTCATCATTAAGTAAGATTGTGGTTAAATGCTCGCCTATTTCTCATGACAAAACAAAGGGATCTCGGCAAAATAAAAAGCTTTGCAATCATTGTTCAAATCCTCTTCGATCTCTGACGCCCACGCCATTTACTTTGTACGTCTGCATTTGTTTCCTTGTTGTTTGTTTTTAGGCGCCTAAAATGAAATAAAACGACAAACTAAACAATGCAGCTCACAAAATTCCTTTAAAGTAAAGCTTCGATTTCCTCACAAAACTATGAATATCACAACGCATTTAGGGTGATGATGGGGCTGCCATGTAGGTATAGTGCATTGAGAATATTAGTCGAGTCTCGTACATGGTTTCATGGCCATTATGAGAAAACGGAGTACATCTGCGCTGGGGCGCCCCTGAGGGAGCTCCAACCGCGGTCCTGCGTGTGTGTGACTTTATTCTTCAACACTACAACGAGACTTAAAAACTTAAAATAGTGGCTTAAAATCTAAAAGAAAAGGTCCCAGCCTCAGCAATTTGCTGGTTTTCAGG